CGCATTGCGTGGTTTGGTACATGCATCTATCCTTTAGCCTGCCACTCGGCTGCATAAACGAGCAACTTCACCACGCGACCGACGTTGCAGCGCTCTCTTCATTGCCTTAATACCCACCAGCAGCAGCAGCAGACCATGGCGCCCAACACCAACACCAGCGGAGACGTGTGCGTGGAGGAAGTGCGTAGCAGTCTCTCTCTCGACAGCTACGACGTCGGCGCGATGATCAGCCCTCGCCCCACCAGCAGCAAGCACAACCCGGAGGACGTTGTCATTTTCTTTGACTGGGGTAAGAGCTTCTCTCCACTCTTGCTCTTCATGCTATGGTTCAGCATTCTCACCCTCCTTCTATCATCGCTATCGTCCGACAGACGACACACTGATGGCTTCGTCCGCCATCGCCAAGCTCGGTCTGTGCCCCAAGTACATTAACGAGGAGCCCGAGATCCCCGACGACGTACAAGCCGAACTTAAGGAGCTCGAAGAGTCCGTCGTACAACTCCTGGAGACTGCGCTGTCCTACGGTCGTGTGGTTGTCGTGACGGCCGCAGAGAGTGGTTGGGTCGAGCTCTCAGCGTCGCTCTTCATGCCTCGTCTCGTGCCATTCTTCAACACTCGCATCAAAGTCATCTCTGCTCGCTCCACATACGAATATCTGTACCCGGACTGCCCGCGTCGGTGGAAGATGGAGGCATTCAACAATGAAGTATTCCCGGTGTGGGAGTCTTACGGCGAGGAGGACTCGGCAGGCATCCCCCGACATGTCATTTCGCTCGGTGACGGCCCGACAGAACGCGAGGCGCTAATCAACGTCAAGATGCAGGCAATGGACGCATGCCATGGCAAGTCAATGAAGTTTATCGCGTACCCGAAGATCAGCGAGCTGCAGTTGGAAGTGGAACTTATCCTTGCCAACATGGAGCATTTGTGTACCCACGAGGGCGACCTTGACCTGCAAATCACGTGGGAAATGCTCAACGGTGGCGCATAATCTGCTGAAGTGCGTGCAGTTCAAGTGAGCGTTGTGGCTCAATGTGGCGCGGCGCTCATGCGATATCGAGGGTTGACGGACGAGTTTGTGACGCTGCTGTTGCTTGTTCAATGTTGATAGATGTAAAGTATGACCGCGGGCCCAATTACGTTTTTGGGAGGGCCCGACATTGAACAAGTGGCCGAGGAGGAGACGCTCGGGAACTACCAAGCGCAGCAGCACCCGAGTCACGATGCCGGAAATGCTGCTACAAGATGACTGCCGCGAACTGCTAGCCAACTGGAGAAGAACAGCGCTGCTGCCACTTACTTACCATTACTATCACTACTACGTACGTACATATCCCCAAGAAACCCAAGAAATAACTTATAGATAAAAAAAACATGTACTTTGTTGTCAAGTTTGGTGTTTCTCATTGCAATACTCTGCATGTTAGTCGGCGTAGAAACTAAAAACCACGCATGTTGCCCAAATGTGTTGCTACATGGACAATTTGTCAGTGTTTTCTGCTTCAATGATACGCAACGATGACTCAGACTTACGCTGTTAAACACCGCTGAGGCGTGGTTATCATGGTCGTTGTCCCACAGGCAACGAGACGTGATACGGACGTCCTGTAGCCGCTGCTGACCGATGAAAGTCTGTACGACGATCTTGTATCGTGGGAAGTTGCACTCGGCGTGGATGCGAGCCTTGACAGCGTCGGCGATGGCGGTACTCCAGCCTTTGCAGTCACTCTCATCAAACTCCTTGCCCTCCAGCTCCTTGGTCATGCACTCGGAAATGATGTTGCACACCTTTTTGCGACGGAAGCTATAGCGACTTCAATATCAATATTACCAATCCAGAGAATGCGCACTACAAACGCGTACCGTTCGTCCTCTGTCGGTGCCATGATGTAAGTGGGCATCACCACTTTGATCACCTGGTTGGCTCGCCCAGACGCCATCTCCATGTCCGCCATAATGGCCTGGCACCTGGCAGCTACTGCAGCACTACGAGTCTAAAGATCTGCGACTCCTCAAGGTGACCTAATGAGAGACCGACTATTGGGATCGATTTCAACCTAAAGCCTGCTAGCGCCAAGTTGGCGGCCAACAGCGTGCCATGAGCAGTAAGTAACTTTGAAGCAGCTATTGTACTTGTCAGCAACCTTTTCATTAATTTTTGCGTGCTCCTGCCGAACGCGTCGCTCGCTCTCGCTTCCCTACAAGTAAAAGTCCCAGCTGCGTATCCTGTTTCCAGGTCTAAAACCTGCTTTATCACCTGTTCTTCCTCTCGCATCCTTCTTCCAAGCAGAGTATTCCCTTTTTTTCCAACAGACACAAGACGAGGTTGAAGACGGAACAAGACGTAGCAAAGAAACTCAAGCGAACGCGCCTAACAACATGGCGGCGGACTTGACTGGTAATTAATTGCTGCTTCAACAAGGGCTCAACATCCTGGACGAGAGGCTGCGACCGTCGATGCCGTCTAGTTGCTGCTAGTAACAGCGGCCACCATAGCCGCGTGGGTGTCCACGCCGATCTGGGCGTTGAGCTTCTCCTCGGAGCCCTCGGGGGCCGACGCCAGCTGCGCCTGGTACTTGGTAAGGCCGGCCTGGGCCGCCTCCGGGTCGATGTCCTCCACCTTGACGAGCTCCACACAAGCAATGTCCGTGACCGAGTTAGCGTGAGTCAGAGCGAAACCGCCGGCCGTGAAGAAGCTATGCACGTCCTTCTCGCGCTCCACGTGAACCTTAATGACGCCGGGCTTCAGCTGCGACAGGACGGGCGTGTGGCCCGCAGTCACACCGTACTCTCCGATGACGCCGGGGATCTGCACGAGGTCCACTTCGGCGCCCTTGTAGAAGGCCTGGTAGGGAGTGGTGAGGTTCAGCGTCACCTTGGTGGCCGTGGCAGCGGCCTGGTCGGCCGCGGCGGCCGACAGGCGTGACGACGTGTGCAGCGCGCGGGCAGCGAAGCGGCTCGTAGCAGACAGCATGGTAATACACTTGGGGGGCTTTAGCACTTCTGGAGCAGCGTGCGGCGAGGGGCGAGCGTGGATTCAAGTCGTTTGATTGGCTGTGGAGGGCGTAATTACAACTAGCTCGTATTTTTTTTTTTTTACAAAAACGAAATATTCTGCTAGAATTCAGTACATTAGTGATGTCACTAAATCAATATACACGGGTAGGTATAAAGAATCAGATCAGGTCTGATTCTGATTCGGCAAGGAAAATAAAAAACTAATAAATATTGAATTTAGAATTAAATTTATGATAAGTCTTCGATATCCGATCTATCAAGAATCAGCCCGATTCTGATTGGCCGGGATGGCATTCAGAAGAAAAAAAAACCATTAAAATTTTAATGGTTTTTTTTCGTCTTGTTATAAAATGACAAAACTGAAGATAAAGCAGACAAACCAAAAGATCAAACAGAACCAACGTGTTCATTGCAAGTACGCTCTCCTCGTGCTTCTAGGCGTGACTATTACTGCAACGGACGACGCTACTGGTACTGGTGCTAGATATTACAACTAAATACAAGATGGGCTTTGGGTTTCCGACGTGGGTTGGTGAAACGGACTGCGATGTCCGCTTGGTCTCCTCCGGTGGAGAGAAGTTCCGCCTGCTCACTCGTGTGCAGCAGCAACTGCCAGTTACACTGCGGACGGTGTGAAACTCAACACGTATAGAAGAATGACGAGGAGGTTAGGGCGACTGCAGCGCTGCAGCAGACGCGCCACTCTCCGTCCTCCATCCACGAGACTTGCAGCAATTTTTTTATTTCTTCTTGTGGTGCGAGCCGTTGCCTGAGTGGTCCTGCTGCGCCTCACGCAGCGCCTCAGCCTTCTGGATCATGGCATCACGGTCGAATACCGCCTTTGGGTGCTTGCTGGTGTAGTGCTGTTCGTACGACTTGATATCGGGTGACGCACTCTGTTGCAGCAAGATACAAAACATTAGTCAATAAGCTGATTGCAATGCAGTGCTGCTATCGCCCCCGACGTACCATGCAGATGTCGCACGTAAAGTTGAGCTTCGCGACACCACGAGTGGCGGCGCCGGCTTTGCCTCCGCCCTTGTTGACCTGCTTCTGGCGCCGTTCGAGGTCCGCCGCCGTGTGCTTTTTGAACTTGGCCTTGCCACCCATGCTGCTACTAACGTGATTGCTGGACGCGCTTGGACTCTTCTTGAGCAATGAGCCGCTTGTTATGCTGTCTCGCCTTCTTGGTGGTAAAGAATGGAGGAAACGGACCGGACAAGGACCGGTCCGGACCGCAGCAAGCATACTTTGAGCAAGATAAACTGAATTGAGGTGCGGAACACCAATTAGGTGCCATCGTTTGAGCCTGGATCTTGAAACGCCGCAATGATACTTGTCAAAGTCCAAGTTGTCGTCAACTAACTACTTAGCACATGTGGAGGTGCAGGTTACTATCTCCAGTAAAGCAACGCATTGCGTGGTTTGGTACATGCATCTATCCTTCAAGTATTAGTCCATGTAGGACGATTGAAATCGTTTGGATGCATGACAGCTTGTGCTAGCTGTGCACAGACAACTTTGATCAGTGGTGCTAATGGTACGGTTCTCAGGGCGACGTCCACTGGACGATAGTTCATAAAGATTTACGTGATTTATCTACCAGGGAATCACTGGTACGGGTCATCCTCCAACGTGTGAATGATCATCTGCCAACTTTCGCAACCACATCATACATGATGTACTTTTGGAAGAAGCCAAGCAGTGGTGCATAGATGCTTTGCTGCGCTTGACGTCAGTAGAGACCTTGATGCTGTCATGCACTTCAACCTCTGTCCTGGCCAAGACCACCAATGACTCCCTTCCAGGGAGCTTTGTGAATCAATATGATCGACGCAACGTCCTCCATAATCGGCGAGATTGGTCGAGTATTTTCATTGGCTTAAAGTGAAACAAACGCTGGATTTTCAGCCAATACAAATGCTCAAACGAATCACTGCCAACGCAAGGTAAGGTTGAACCTCGAAGTTGGGCCTGTCAAACCGCTCATTACCGAACGTGCAGCGTTGCGCAACTAGCTAAACGCAGCATAACCTTCATCACCACCGTCCGCCATGGTCAAGATCGTTCCCGGCAGCGACGGCACGCCGCTGAACGTGCTCGAGTACGAAGAATATGCTAAGGAATACCTCCCCAAGAACGCATACGACTACTACGCGTCTGGCGCTGACGATATGGTGACGCTCAAGGAGAACCGCGAGGCTTTTAAGCGTCTAGTGCTGCACCCGCGTGTACTCCGTGACGTATCCAACATGGACATCAGCACGACGCTGCTGGGCCACCGCATCAGCTCTCCAGTCTGCGTGGCGCCCTCGGCCATGCACCGTATGGCACACCCGGACGGCGAGATCGCCAGCACGTCAGCCACAGCCAAGGCAGATACGTGCTACATCCTCAGTACCATCTCCACCACCAGCCTCGAGGACGTCGCCAAGGCCAACAGCCAGGCGAACCCCAACGCTCTGCGCTGGTACCAGCTGTATGTATTCAAGGACCGCGAGATCACGCGCGGCCTCGTAAAGCGCGCCGAGAAGGCTGGCTACAAGGCCATCGTACTCACCGTAGACACACCCATGCTTGGTCACCGTGAGCCGGATGTGCGCAACCGCTTCAGTCTGCCCAATCACCTCACAATGGCCAACTTCGCTGAAGTGGGAGGTGATCACGAGCACGGCGTCAGCAGCCTCAAGGACTCTGGACTCGCCCACTACGTCAGCGAACTCTTCGACCTCACGCTCAACTGGAACGACGTCAAGTGGCTCAAGAGCATCACTAGTCTACCAGTCGTCGTTAAGGGCGTGCTCAGCCCCGAGGACGCCAAGATCGCCGTCGATTTGGGCTGCGAAGGTGTCCTCGTGTCCAACCACGGCGCCCGGCAACTCGACGGTGTGGCCGCGACCATTGATGCACTACCGGCCATCGTCAAGGCCGTGGACGGCCGCGCCGAAGTGTACCTGGATGGCGGTGTTCGTCGCGGAACAGATGTGTTCAAGGCTCTGGCACTTGGTGCCCGTGCAGTCTTCCTTGGCCGCCCAGTTCTTTTTGGCTTGGCGCACAGTGTACGTTGACGTTATCTCTTTTTGAAGTGGTCATTGTGTTCAAAACTCTAACTGTGTATTGTAAGCAGGGCGAGGCTGGAGTCTCCAATGTGCTTCGTATCCTCAACGATGAATTGAAACATGCGATGTTGTTCTCCGGTACTGCTAAGCTCGCTGACATTGGGTAGGTGACTCTTGTGTGCTGTTGGTTGAGTGCCGAAGTCTCACAATTTATTCATTGTGCACGTACAGCCCTGCTTACGTTCGTCGTGGAGTGCCTCCTCTTCCGTCGTCGCTGTAAGAAGTGTACATGCCGACACTACTTCCGTTTGTTGATATCAAATTAATCCTGAACGAACGTAATAACAACACGCTCAAGTTTGTCACTACGTGTAATGGTTCCTGTTTCAGCCTTTCGCTTATTAAGAGTGCGAGATCTTGATGAAGACAGCAACAGGCAAAGCTTTTATAGCAATGACGGAAGAGGAGGCAGTCCGCGACGCACGTGCGCAGGACTGCAAACCAACAATACGAACATGTAAGTTAATCCAACAAGTAATTCCAGGATCAACACCACCGCGTACCCAATATCAGCGAGCGATGCAGTGCCGGAGAAGAGCATGGCATGCTTCAATTCAGCATTGAGGATACGCAGGACGCTCGAGACTCCAGCTTCGCCCTACAAGGAATCCGTCATATAAAAATTGACACGTCAGTTCGATACAAACAGCGGTGGCGATAAGGATTTTGTTCACGTACGCTGTGGGCAAGGCCGAACAGGACTGGGCGACCCACGAAGACGGCACGAGCTCCTAGCGCTAGAGCCTTGAAGACGTCTGTGCCGCGTCGAACGCCTCCATCCATGTACACTTCTGCGCGGTCACCCACCGCTTGGACAATAGCAGGAAGTGCGTCGATCGTAGCTGTAACTCCATCGAGTTGTCGAGCCCCGTGGTTTGATACCAAGACACCTTCACAGCCGCTTTCAACCGCCATCACTGCATCTTCAGGCGTGAGAATTCCCTTCGCTACAATTGGAAGATTTGTGATGCTCTTGAGCCACTCGACGTCCTTCCAGCTTAAAGTCTGGTCGTACAGATCGCTCACGTAGTCTGCATAGTCAGTTGTTGCGTTCTGGGGGCCAAAATTGGCCATAGTGAGGCGCTTGGGGATGCTAAAGTGGTTGCGGACGTCCGCCTCACGATTCCCGAGCACTGGGGCGTCCACAGTCAGTACGATGGCCTTGTAGCCTGCCTTCTCCGCCCGCCGCACCAGGCCGACCGTGATTTCTGTCCATCATCGAGTTAGTTCTCTATAACTTCAGTGCACACGAAGCCAATACTTACTGCGGTCCTTGAAGACGTAGAGCTGGAACCACCTCAGCGCGTTGGTGTTGGCTGCACTGCTCGCCGTCGCCACATCTTCCAGCGTCGTAGTGGACATGGTGCTGAGCACGAAGCACGTGTCCGCTTTGGCTGCTGCCGAAGTGCTAGCGATCTCTCCGTCCGGATGCGCCATCCTATGCGTGGACGAAGGTGCCACACACACTGGAGATCTAATGCGATGGCCCAGTAAAGTCGTACTGATATCCATTTTGGACACATCGCGGAGCACTCGAGGGTGCAGCACCAGACGCTTGAAGGCCTCGCGGTTCTCCTTTAACGTCTCCATCGAGTCCGAGCCAGACGCGAAGTAGTCCATCGTGGACTTGGGCAGATACTCTCGGGCATACTCCTCGAACTCGAGCACGTTGAGCGGCGTGGCGTCACTGCCAGGGACGATCTTCATTGCGTCGGGGTTGTGCTGCCGACTCGGCTGATTCGTTAATGAGGAGAGACGGCTCAACTTCAAGCAACGGTGGTGGTGGTGGATTGTTCCGTGAAGTGACAGTCTCCCGCCCCCGCTTGGACTCCAAGTTGGAGGTCGCCTCATACAGAGGATTCTCAATGAAGGCAGAAGAATGAGTGCTTGATGAACGGCAAGTTGTCATGGGGATCATCGCCAAACGCATTTTTTTTTGTTTTAGAGCACGGCTGTCATAAACACAATTGTTTGCGGCGGTATTCCAAATATGATACATCTGCAACTGCGAGATCTGCTTCTGTCTGAAGAAGCTTTTACATGTGTAGCTTGCTCGGTTCGATGTCCTAGTCGTGTATGGTGAGATGCTCGCGGTTTGCATCGGCTTTGACCAGATCCTGCGCTCCAGCCATGTTTCTTGCCGTGCCACCGCATTTCCAGTGTCTTTTGATGTTTTTTATCGGCACTATACTTGCCATCAACAACAAGCTTACCAGGAGAACGCAAACAGCAGCAACAGTACGGGCGGTTAAATAGTGAACACGTTGTGAGCACGGTGTTGTCCGTGCTGCGTCTCCTAGCCGATGCACACCCAACTAAAGCTGAAGACAACCAAGCTACGACGCGATAGGTATTTGCAGATACGACCAAGTGTTGAGACCAAGTGTTGAGACCAAGGATCGACATTAAAATTGATTTTATTCGAGGAAGACAAACATTTATTAAATGCTTGGCTTCTTCCGTTCTGTGAATGTAGAAGGCGGAACTGCGATTTCTGTACGAGCTACGCAGTGGCATCTTGGGTTGTCGCCCACGATCGTGTGGATTAACTGGAGCTGCGTCTTGTTGTCGTTGAACTCGGCGATGTAATCCGTGTGGAGAGGTGCCAGCAGAAACGGCGCTGGTAGAGCAAGGCGAAGAAGAAGTTCTTCTTTGCAACATTGCGGACCTACGCCGTCACCCCTTTAATATCACTAGAGCAATTCCAAAGCAAACGGTGAATTGTATTCATGTTTAACAAAGCAAGGTACAGTCCCTCCGTGAGGTTTAGACCTACTGCGTTGATGGTGTCTGCGATTCCGTCGTATCTGCTTGCGTGGGAGGCGTATCTTCTTCCTGCTTCCCCTCCGACTCTGTCGTGGTCGTCGTGGTCACCGTCGTGGTTTTGGTCGTCTGATCTTCACTCGTCTTGGCAACCTTCTGCACAGACGAAGCACTCTCCACTGCACCACTCAGTGGTCTCTTGGTCAGAGCACTCGCACCAGCAACTACAGAGGTAGGAGTGCTAGTAGTGGCGTCTCCGCCAGCCGCAAAGCGCGCGAGGCGCTGGCTACGACGCAAGGCCTCAGGGGGTGCGCTATCACCTGCAAGCGACAGATGCGGCGGATGCGAAGCAGCTGGGGACGGCGGCGATGGCACAGGCAGCGAGATGCCTGGCTTACCAAACACGAGGCCGCTCGGGCCTCCCGATCCGAACGCACCGAAGCCTGTTCCAGAGCCGAACTTGAACTGTCCGGTAGTGTCTGACGACGTCTTGGATTCGGTCTCAGCAGGCTTGGCTTCGACCGCATTAGCAGGAGGAGCAGGCGCCTTCGTGGGGGTGAAACGAGCAACACCACCGACCTGTTTCTTCATAGACCGCAACGCGAATTGACGCAGTTTCTCCTCGGCCGTCATGCTAGCAGAATCGTCCGTAGAGCTCTCTGTTGACTCCTTTGGAGGCGTAGCAGCCGGAGCTGCAGGCGCAGGGGTCGTAGATGTAGATACAGCAGCCGAAGTCGCTTGAACTGGAGCGGGCAGAGCAGGTTTCGGGGTGAATTCCACCGCAGAGGGAGCAGTAGCTGCAGTCGTAGTGGCCGTCATTGTAGTTGTAGTCACCGTTGTCGCCGTTGTTGATGAAATGGGTTCAGTCGAGACAGCAGGAACCGCTGGAACGGCAACAATTGCAGGCTTCGCTTCCGACGCGGTGGCGCTCCCCTGTAGCGTCGACTCATTGTTGACAACTGGCTTTGGTGACGAAAACAGCGGTACTGGAGCTGTGGCTGGCTTTGTCGGGGGTGTAGCTGACGTCGAAGGAGGCGCCTGCGGAGGCGACGCAGGTGGGGAAGACACAGGAGTCTTCTCCACTACAGACTGAGACGGTTGAGTGGCACTAGCTGCGTGGTCCTTTAGCTCGCTGTTTTCCTTCTTCAAGCTCTTCAAACCAGACATCAGACGCGCGTTAAAGTCCTTCAACTGCGTGCTCTTCTTCGTCTCCAGCTCCAACTGAGCCTTCAATGTCTGGCGCTCCTTCTCCCACGACGCATTCGCACCACTCGCCGCTGCGGCGTTGTCCTGCTTCGCTGCTTCACAGGCCGCCAACTTCGTCTCCAGCGCAGACTTTTCAGCCGTCACAGTACTGATCTGAGCCTGAACTGCACTTAGCTTGGCCTCCAGCGTGGTGATACTGGCGCTGCGGTCTTCGGCTTCCTTGTTCTTCTCTGCAAGTTGCTTGGTCAGAGCCTCCGCCTTGTTCTTCCAGTTCTTCGCAAAGCCCTTGATACGTTCGTACTGCTTGCTCCAGTTCTCAACCTTCTTCTTTTCCTCTTCCAGCTCCTTGCCACCACTTGAACGCAGCGTCTCCAGCTCAGCCTTCAGCGCACTCTGCTCAGCCTTCAACTCTGTGAGCTCCTTCGTCAGTGCCTCCTTCTCAGCGACGACCTTGTCATGTTCAGCCGGGTCAACCTGTTGATACTTCTCCACCAATTGATCCACACGTTGCTTCCAGCGTTTGTTGGCATCATTCAGCGTCTCGACCTCCTGCTTCAACGACGCAACTTGCGTCTTGAGAGTTGCCTCAGCGTTCTGTAAAGGCACAATCTTGGCCTCAAGACTGCGCACCTTCGCCTCCTCTTCCTTGAGCTTCGCCAAGCTCTTCTGGTTCTCGTCACGCAGCGTCGCGTTGCTCTCACGCAATAGACTCAACTGTTCCAACTGTGCAACGCGCTTCTCGTCATCAGCTGAAATCGTAGTCGTCTGCTTACCAGTTGCAGTTGCTGCATCAGAGAGCGCCTTCATCTCACCACGAAGACGTTCGATTGTGGACTCCAAGCTGAAGATCTGGGCGCGACCACGCTGCACTTCTTGCTGGGACAACTCGAGCTTCGACTCAGCAATCTCACTCTCCCGTCGTAAGTAGGCGACCACACTCCTGAGGTCGTCGATTTCCTTCTCATGTGCGTTAGAAGCAGCACCCTCGCCAGCCTCCTGGCTCGAAGACTGGGTGCCTGCCACCTTCAGCATCTCTTGTTCATGAGCACGACGCACCTGGGCAGCTGCGCGCTCTAGCTGGGAGTGTAGCAACTTGTTCTGCTCCGTGACAGCCTTCTTGGTCTCTACTGCTTCGTCAAGGCGCTTCTGCAACGTCTCCAGTTGAAGCTGCGCCTCCTTCTCAACCGACTGCACCTTGGCATTCAACGCTTCAATCTCGGCCTTCCGTTCACGTACAGTCTTGCGGGTTTCCTCCATTTCCCGACGAGATGACGATGACTTGGCCACCTCCGCTGCGTGGAGCTGCAACTCGCGTTCATAGTTCTCCTGGGTGGTCTCCAGCTCTCGCTTCATCTTGCCCATCTCTTCACGCACACTGTTCATTTGCTGAACGGCACTATCAGCTTGAACTTGCAGCATCTTCTGCTTCTCCGTAGTTTCGAGAAGGGCCTTCTTGTGCGCTTGCTCTGCTCGGTCGATCTCTTCCCGCAAACTGCTGTTCTCGGCGATATGCTCCTTCAGCTCCGCTCTGGCCTTCGCCAGCTCGTCACGCAAGCGGTCGCGAGCCTTCTCGAGTGTCTGCACCTTCTCAGCCTCGCTCTGCTTCCACTTCTCACTGGCGCTGGATAACTCGGCCAGACTCTTCTCACTCGCCTCAGCCAGAGCCTTGTACTTCGTCACACTTTCGGTCAAAGTCTTCCTCGATACAAGCGACGCCTGCACTTCAAGTTGAGCGTCACGCAGCTGAACTTCCAGCGCTGCTACACGCTCAGCAGCTGCAGCACTCGCTCCCTTGCGGAGCTGCTCGCGTAGATGCGTCGTCTCCTTCTCCAGCAGCACCGACTTGCTCTCCAGCGCCGTCTTCTGCTCTTCAAGTCGCGCAAGCTGCTCCTTCAATTGACCGTGCACCTCCTTCAGCTTGGCCAGTTCTGCCAATGCTGCCTGCTTTCCCCTCTCCGCAGCCAAAACCTGTGCACCTGAAGTGACCTCCTTGGCGTCAAACTTCTCGTATGCGTCCTGCAGCTTCGTCTCCAGCGTCGCCACCTTCTTTGTCAACGTTTCCACCTCACGACGGTCACGTTCCTCGCGGCCAGTTTCCATGCGACGCGTTGACTCCATAAGCTTGAGCAAGTTCGTGTTGTCCAGACGCAACGTCGTCATCTCCTGCTGAAGCTTCTCCTCGTTCTTGCGCAAGAACTCAGCCTCACGAACAGCCGAGTCTTTCTCCACGCTGAGGCTCTGCAGACGCGAGTTCGCAGTCTCCAGCTTGGCTTCGGTATTCGCCAACATCTGTTGATGCTGCAAGATCAGTGAACTTAACTGGTCTGCCTTGGATCGTAAACGTATTAGCTCCTTCTCGGCGTTGGCGCAACGTTCCTCTGAGGCTTCATAGCGCTCCTTATTGCATGTGGCTTCCACCTGAGCCTGCATCTGTGCTAGTCTGGACTCGGAGCTCTTGGCGCGCTCTTGGTCCAGAGCTTCCTGCAGCATCTTGAGGTTGACCTGCTTCTCCTTCTTGTAGTCCTCAAACTCCATCTGAACCTCACGAAGCTTCCTGCTCTCGATGATATCAAGAGATCCGCGACGGTTGTGAGGTCTCTCCACCGGTGTAGCACTCTCTTGACCTCCAATTGGAGCGTTGCCATCCAGGAACTTCGTGTCCGACTGAGCCAACAACACGCGGTACATGTCGCGCTGCTTCACGATAGCTGTGATCATCTCGCGTTCCTGTTCACGTTCAGTACGCAGTTCTTGGATCTCCTTACAAGCCATGGACAAGCGCTTCTTGATCACATTGGAAGCTCCGATTTGGTCCAGTTCTTCGTCTGAGTCGCCAGTGATAATCAGATGCGCCGACGAGGACGTAGACTCAGCTTCACTCACAGCATCACTCAACTTGTCGCCGGTCTTAGTCTTGTTCATCTCCGTGAGCTCGCGAATCACAGCCAGCAACTGCTGGTTGCGCACCTGCAGCTCCTCCACGTCCTTGAAGACCACCAGGTTCTCCGATCCAACGTCACCTGCTCCAAAGTTGCCCACCTGCTGGTGCTGATCTTGAGAGCGGAAAAGAAGGTGCTGCACCTGTCGTGATAGATCATCCACGGTCTGAGCCAGCGACTCGCACTTCTTCTCAAACGCAGTCTTCTCATTCCAGGCCTGTTGTTCGTGGCTTTTGCTCTTTGCCAACTCCTGCATACAGTGCTCCAATCGCTCGCTCAGTTGAGTGTGACTGGCCACAGTACGTTCGTGATCCAGACGTAGACCCATGAGAACTGGCGCCTTCTCCTGCACTTCCTTCACAATGCGGTCCATGTACAGCTGCAGCTTGTCCTTCTCACTGCGCTCTGCCTGCAGCGTTTCCTCCAGCTCCACGATGTGGTCGTACATCTGCTTGGGGGTCAGACCATGGGCTGCCAAGTGAGCTTCACCTGCTGCGGAGGACAACTCGGCCACAGCACTGGCTGTCTGGAGAGAAAAGATTTTCTTCTTCTCCAGCTCTTGAATCTTCTGCTCAGCAGTCTGCAGATCGTCCTGCAAGGCCTGGATGCGTGCCTCCGAAGTCTCAGCCTGCTCACGGAACAAATGCTCCACTTGTTCCTTCGTGCGCTCCGTCTCACGAGCCAGGGCCTGTTCCGAGTCCGTAAGAGACTTACGTAGTGAGTCACACAGCGTCTGCAGTTCCATCACGCGCGCAGAGGCGTCAGCGGCCGATTCCTGGTACAAAGTGGCAAGACGGCGCTGCGCACTCAGCTCGTTCTGAAGCGCCTCCTCGTCGTGCACCTTGGAAGCCTGCAGCTCCTTCAGTGCTTCCTTGCTCTTGATCAAAGCACTTTCCATCTTCTTATTGGCTAGTCGCGCGCTCTCAAGCTGGCGCTTGGCCGACGTGAGCTCCTCCGTGCTGCGGATCTTGAGCTCCTCCAGGTCGTGCGTGTGCTTGGCTAGATCCAGACGCAGCTCTTGTACCGTCTTGGTCTTCTCGCTGAGCTGCGTCTCGAGCCATTGCGAGTGTTGCTGGGCTGCCTCTGTCTCCTTCTTGGCTCTGGCTAGAGCGTGGGTTAGAGGAGCTACTTGAGCCTCCTGCTTGGCTGCACGCTCGAGTGCCTGCATCTCCTGACGCTGGGCGTCTACGAGCAGACGGTTGTGCTCTCTAACTGTAGTCTGCAGCTCCTCCACCTCCGTGAGGCGGCGTTCGGCTAGCGACGTGGCTGTCTGCAGCTTAAAGCTGAGTGCATCTTTCTCTGTCGTTAGCTGTAGCACCTGCTGCTTCAGTTGACGCGTCTCCTCCTCACGCTCGACTACGAGCTTGGTTGCACGCTCGGCCTCCTCCACTACGGTTGAGGAGCAGGTCGTGTTAGTCAGCAAATAATAGGATTTAGGATACGGGAGACTTACGTGCTGCCTTCTTGTCCGCTGCAAGAGCCTGACGCTCGCTTTCCGCCAGCGAGAAGTTGCTCTTGAGACTCAGATATTTGCTCTCCAGCTCATGTAGAAGTTGCTCTGTAAAAGGCGTTAAAACGTTAGTAAAAGCTCGCGTTTAGGGCGAATCGAATCCTGCCGCGACGACACCATGAACGTCGGCGAACGAAGCGTGGATCGACACGCAAGATAAAGAGGAACAAGGAGAGCACGGGGAGATACACGTATACGTACCCTGGTTGATGCTGGAGGCGGTCAACGCAGCCGCGTCGCCCCCAGTCGCCATCGAAGCCAATGGAGTTTTGAGGTTTTGGCCCACAAACCCGTCAATTTGCAAGTTACTGGCAGAAATTCCTTGATTTCCACCAATAAACAACAAGCCTGTCGCAATAGCCGATCCGATCCAAAGTTTTTAAGCACAACAGCAAAGTAGCCATGGAGGGGACGACGCTCAAGACGTGGCGGCTGGGCAAGAAGCTCGGATCGGGGGCGTGCAGTGACGTCTATGCAGGTAAACCCTTTTTTTTTACTTCATATCTTGACCCAATTCTCATGCCGTAACCCTCTCTGTGTGCTGCAATATGCTGCAGTGGAGTCTGTGAATCCGCTTGGCAGCGACGCTGGCCGTGATTTTGTCATGAAGCTCTCACCGCTCCCGCAACTCCCGGCCGCCAAGCTCAAAAACAAGAAAAGGAAGAAGACACCGGCGGAGCGCAACGCCGACGCGCTGTATGCCGAGCACCTGCTGTACAAGAACCACCTGAGAGACCAGCCTGGAATCCCTTACGTGCCCATGGGGGGATATGGAGAAGACAAGGTTCGTGAAATCCTGGTTGTAGTATGCTCTTAATGGTGACTACTTACTGATAATTTCGGCTGCAGGGATATCGCTACCTGGTGATCGAGCGGCTTGGGCGAACGCTGGAGACGGTGCTGATGGAGCAAGGGCCTGTCCCGTCGGCCACAGCAGCTCGACTAGGCCTAGAAATTGTACGAATACCCTCGCGAAACGCGACACTTTATGGCTGTGTATCTGATATTTTGTGTTGCATTTAATCAGTTGGAGACGCTGCAGCAGATGCATGTAAAGAACATCCTGTACGTGGACGTGAAGCCTGAAAACTTCATGCTCGACACGCACAGGGAGAACAAAGTGTACTGCGTCGACTTTGGCATCTCCGATCGTTATGTCACCGCTACAGGCAAGCACAAGGACTATAAAGAAGGAACAGTTGTGGGAACACCGACCTTCCTGAGCTTGAGCTGCCACAACGGCGCAAGTACGTTCGCTCTTTTAACTCTTAGGGGGTAAAGTGTGAAGTTCTAACTACGGAATGCCTTCAGCTTCTAGCCGCCGAGATGACATCGAGTCATTGCTGTATGTACTCATCTACTTGATGCGAGGCGATCTTCCGTGGCAACAAGCGTCCAGTGATGCCGAAGGAGCCAAGATCAAGAAGACGACCTCAGTGGAACATCTGTGCGCTTCGCTGCCTAGTGAATGGAGCACAATGCTGAAGCAGATTCGGGAGTGCGGCTTCGAGGATCGACCAGACTACGACTTCTACGTGCAGCAGTTCTCAAGGCTAGGTGGTAAAAAGGGCTTGACAACGCCGTTCGAGTGGGGCGCACGCAAGACGAGCAAAGCGGTTCGTCTACAGTTACTGAAGGCATGTATGTACTGACTAACGCCTCTCGTGAATCTTAATGTCATGAAGGCTGCTAAGGTTGCTGCTGCATCGCAAGAGTCCACCACCGACAGCCCCGTGCGCAAGCGTGTGAAAAGCGTGGATGAAGATCTCACAGCGCCTCCACCTACCGCAGCCAAGGCAAAGAAGGCCACTGCTCCTGAGAAAAAGAAAACTACTCCTCGTCATAGCAAGCAACCAAAGAAAGCGTCAGCACCTGCTTCAAAGGTCAGGAAGACGAACAAGAAGGACCAAAAGCACGACGACGATGATGTTGAAGTCGAAGGTGTGGGTGTGGGTGGCGTGCGGCCCCAAGACCGAGAAGTGTTCAAGGCCATTGCTGGCCACGCTGCCGCTACCGCCGCCGTGAAGCGGTACAATTTACGCTCAGCTCGTTGAGAGTATTGAGAGTACAGGATACAGCAACGCACAGGGGAGGTCAAGCAGCATTAGCACACCAGTACTTTGGTCTATTCACTAAATAAAAAAAATACAATATCTTTCGCCCAAAAGACAGTACTTTTTGCTATCTGCTCCAAAATGAACGACGATGCTGGACGGATGACGTACGAGCTGCTGCGCACCCACGGAGATCTAGACAATGCAAAGACGCATAAGGAGATGCTTAGGGCACTAAGTTCTGTGTGCGCAGACCGCCAGAGTGCCGATGTTTTGCAGCGCCTCCACGCGACGGATTTCGGTATGTGGACAGCATTCGGTTGAGGGTAATCTCTACAGTTGTGACTTAGTTATCTATTGAACAGCGTTGCTGCGAGTTCGTGAACATCAAGAAGAGACAAGTCAGGTGTCTAAGAGGAGGAGTCGGGTGCGGGACAAATGGAAGCAACGGAAGCTGCAGGAGGGAGCAACACTCGACGACGTGCAGAGGCGCTATCCAAAGCTCTTCGAAGGGGTGAGATACCGCAGCTTCTAGCAGTTTTCAAAGTGTGTTGCAATGGCAGACTGATGGATGTATGCTTGGTGTATTGTGGCAGGTGGAGGAAGAGCGGATGGAGCACAAGAAATCAAATGGTGCGGTGAATACCGTTAATGGAATAGTGACGGTCCTGACTCAAGCAGTAGGTCACGTACAGGCACCTCCAGCTCCTGCTCCTGCTGCGGTGCTTCAACCCGTGGCAGCTACTCCAGTGGTGCCTGCAAGAGCGGAAATGAGGAGGAACGACTTCAACTTCACTGATGATGTGTGGAGTGGACCTCCCCAGGCTGCTGGGGTTGCAATGCCTAGCGAGCCTGCACCACAGCCCAAACCTGCGCTAAGTGATCTACTGAGTAAGCGGTCGAGACTGCCACATGAAGATCCCGAGCTATTTGGTTCGAATACTCGTCCTAATCCGGTCCAACAAGGAAATTCGTTCCAGACTGCTACTGAGCGACTGCAGGTGAGATAGCACGTCTCCTTGGGGATACATACCCTGAGACTTACTGTGTGTATGATAAAAGCATGACCGCATGACAGGGAGAGCTAGAAACCTTGACGACGATCACTCTCGGGGTAGAAATGACCGGCGTGGGAATCCTCGAGGCCCTCCACGTGGCGTTTATCACCCTGTGAACCAAGATCTTCTTCTCGGTGGAGGAGATAATGACAACGGCTACATATCTGGGTCATCTGCGGTCAGCAAAAAGTTTGTGTCTCCAATGAACGATGGAGGATCCAACAAAGGGTGCGTGGGATTAACTTGTTTGCGCTAACTGGAGGCTGACAATCATGTACTAAGCAGCAGCAAAAAGCAGACTACCCCGCCCGATGAGGACGTAAATATTGATCCACGCCTCAAAAGTTGTGACCCCGAGCTGATCGAGAAGATCGAGATGGAGATTGTAGACAATGGAGACCCCATTACATTCGACGATATCGGTAGGATGAGTTGCCCTCTACTCTAGCAGTCTTGACGACTGACTGATAACATCTCCTGCATATTGTAGCTGGGCTGCAATTCGCAAAGAAGTGCGTGAACGAGCTGGTGATTTGGCCCATGGCACGACCAGATATTTTCACGGGTCTTCGTTCTCTCCCTAAAGGTGCGTTGCTACGGGATACCTGTAATGATTGCCTATAAGTTTTTTATCATGGTTTCCTTGTGCCCAGGCTTGCTCTTGTTTGGACCACCAGGAACGGGTAAAACATTGATCGGCAAAGCCATTGCAAGTCAATCCGGAGCGACTTTCTTCAGTATTTCTGCTAGCTCACTAACGAGTAAATGGGTGCGGCTCAGCTTAATCGTTTTGCTCGTTTGGACCGGCACTGACGGCTCGATTTCTTGTGTTAACACGTAGATTGGCCAAGGAGAGAAGCTCGTTCGGACGTTGTTTGCTGTTGCAGCGGTGAAGCAGGTACAATCTCTGTTGCGTTGCTTTTCTGTGCTCAATACTCTACTAACCTCTTCTATTGTTTTGCTAGCCCTCCGTAATATTTATTGATGAAATTGACTCGCTATTGACGCAACGAAGGTAAGATATCTTGTCGACCTCGTTCCAAAACCCTCGACATAATTCCTTACTCCTCGTTTTCTGCAGCTCGGAAGAAAATGAAGCGAGTCGGCGGATGAAGACGGAGTGTCTGGTGCAGCTTGATGGTGCTGGCACGAAAGCCAAGGACATCATCCTTGTCGTTGGTACGTTGTCGAGCCAAAGTTAATATCGGCCTCTGCTCATCTGACGTACAAGCTTGGTCTTTCGATTTATAGGTGCGACGAATCGACCTCAAGAACTTGACGAGGCAGCACGTCGACGATTCGTCAAGCGTCTGTACATTCCTTTGCCGTCATTTGAAGCCAGACTGGACTTGGTTAGTCGGCTGCTCAAGGATAACAAGAATGACCTGACCGATGAGAACAAGGCCTTTATTGCCGAGTCAACTAAAGGTTTGTTATGCTGTAGTATAACTATTAAGCTCATACTGATTTTTTTTTTTTTTTGCTATAGGATACTCAGGTGCAGATGTGCGAGCTCTTTGTACGGAGGCTGCAATGGGTCCAATCCGGAATTGCACTGATATCCGCACGATGGATGCCGATTCCGTTCGTCCGATCAACTTGGACGACTTCAAAGAAGCGCTGCGTGGAGTGCGTACATGTAGTTAGTATGGAACGCCTTTGACACATGCTAACTTCACTTTTGCAGGTTCGTTCCAGTGTCGCGGTGAAAGATCTTGCATTTTACAAAGAGTGGAATGAGGAATTCGGAAGTTTTGCCTTCGAGAATCACGATTCGTCTTAATGAAATGCAAGTGAGCTCGCACTTCTGTGTCTTTTGCTTACATGGTAGTTTCTTCCTGTGTTTGGAGTGTTTCTGCTAGAAGGCGGGAGTCTGCTCATTCGTGCCTTAAAAAGCGGACACAGGCGTATTGTCTTGTACTTCGAAGTAGTAAATAAAGAGTGAGTCCATGGAGGTGACGCTGCTCGAGCCTCTCAGGTGCTCGGGGGCAAATATTCCGTCTCGTCGAATGGCATGTTGAGTCGTCTCCGTTTCTGCGCGGGCTCTAATGAAGACCCAGAGTTGCGAGTCGTTGCGCGTACAATAGCAAGAGCCATGGACGGGCAGCTCTCAATCTCTTCGCGGAAGTTCTCGTCGTCGATGATCTCGCTTGTGTGATCCATGAAGAAGGCCAGGCAGTACTCCTTTAAGTACGCAGCATTGAACTTCTCCGCTGCGCAGAGGAATCGCCCGACATTACCGACGGATAGAACTTCCTGTGCTGCGACTTCGCAGAGATGTTTCAGTGGCAGTAGCAAATACTGCTCCGATAGTGTCAGCAGGTCGATCAGTTGCTGCAAAATGACAACAAGTTGAGTTAAATAAAATAAAAATGTTAAAAAAAACACACACACACACACACACAAAAAGTTCTGAAGAAACAAAAACGTACGTTGGAGTTGAGCTTGGCCAGATCAAGCACGCGGTTCGTGTAGATAAACTCGAGCATCTTTGACACCATCTCGGGCGAATGGTCCGCAATACGGACTACACCGTCCCAGCTCTCCTTCATGGCTCCAGGTCGGAACATGGCTTCAAAGATCTCGCATCTTGTCGTGAGGATCAGCCGATGAGCCCGCAGAACCTCTCTGTCCACTCCGACCTCCAGTGTTATGTCACTGCCAATGCCACTCTGCCATCAACAAAGACAAATAAATCTGTCAGCACTTTTCGATTCTTAATCCAGTACATGTCCTCACCAGGAAGAGCTCCCTCATTGTGGCAAAGTAGGTCTCATCACTGTGACTCGGCAGTGTCAGTGTCGTAGGCGCCACTCGACGTCGCACCAGGATAATATCGTTCTAAAACAACAGCTAAACCAGTCAGAGATCCACTAAAACTGCATATAATTCCTTCTCCTACCCCACCTTTTGTAGATGCACCGACTCGGGCGAGTCCTCGGGGTCCAGTCGGTTCTACGGGACACATAAAACACATTAATTTACTATCTAAAGCACCGCGACAATGGTATTAACTCCTACCGTGAAGAAAAAATCGAGCGACTCGCGAGGCAGTCCGTGGTGCTTACTGTAGTGGCGGAAGAGCGACGAGAAGCGCTGTGTCTTCTGCATCAGACACGAGTACATGTTGTTGGCGGCCACTCGAACAATCGAGCGTTCTTTGCCAGTCAGCACGAGGTCCTCCGCGGCCTAGAACAAGTCGAAATATTGAGGTTAAGACACGATATTTTCTACCTGTTGATTGTCTTCCTCTCACCTTCACGGTGAACTCCACGTTCTCAGGACGCACACTGCGGTTCATTAGGATGTTCGAAACCTGTATTTGCAAGTTAACAACGCTCAGAGGGTCGAGGCTTCGTGTGCTGCGTTGGCTACTGCGACGTCCTCCTAGTGTCGCTTGTTCACCTGGCTGTTTGCATCAGATGATAATAAAAATGATATAGTGTATCTATATCGGTTTGAAGCGGTTATGTGGAACTACGCAACTAAATTTCAAGAGTGATGGTCCTACTTCATCATAAATCACTGAGCACTTGAACACCGCGCGTACTTGCATCCCACCGACGCGTCTCGAACGAGTAGTCGTTGCCCTCCAGTACATTATCCACCGCCTTTGCCACATCCCAAATAATCCGACAGCGACCGCGAACCACGTGATCCAATTCCACGATCACGTCGAAGATCGGATTACCCGCTCGCTGAGTCTGCAGTTTTCCCTGATTCGATGCCTTCGCCTCTTTATCGCCTACAATCACCTGTTGAGACCCACCAACTAGCCCTTTCAAGTCAGGATTCTTGATCAGCGCTCGGAAATCGCCATGAGCACTCGCGATCAATCGAGGACCACGCTGACGCACCGTCGACGCAGCCAACACCTCCGCCTTCCGACCGATCTCGTCCACGATCAGCGTCTCCACCGTGTGGTTCTGCACGCACTCCACCATCACTCCAGCCTGCGCTTCCAGTGACGGCACCATCATTCGCCGAGCCCACCCCACACACTCGTGCGGCACTAGACCATCACCGCCGATCTCGTTCGACGTGTCAATAATGCAAACGTTCTCCATCGTTTCGGACACGCAGCGAGCCACGTCTCGGATGAGCGTCGTCTTGCCACTACCCGGATGGCCCAACACCAGCACCGACTTGTCGGCGTTTTTATCGCTCAGTAGCAGATCTGTCAACACACACGCAGCGTTGCGCAGCGCTCGACCAACTCGCATGGTGAGTCCGTACACCTCGTCGGTCTTACTGCGCATGACTGATATGCGGTGCAGTTGTCTGTCGATGCCGGCTCGGTTGTCATTTCCGATACGCATCTCACCTCCCAGATTCATGATAATCTCGTCGATAGTTTCTTTCGTGACTGGAGCGCCATTTTCACTCAGCACGGCACGTTGCTTCTTGCCCGTGTAGACATAGGGAATACGCCCGACATCGAGACAGATGTCCACGAGTTTGTTGTGATAGTCGTCGATGGTGCGGATGGCGTCTTCATATTCTAACGGAAGAAGATCCAGCAGAGATTCTAGCTCACAATGCAGCTGGAGCCGTGGGATGTCCGCAGGAAAAGGCGCAGCTTCGGACGTTCTCTCGTTGTAGGACTCAAAGCACTCGAGACTGCGTGGCTGATTATCTGCACCGGGGTCGAACCAAATCGCCTGATGCCCCTGGTTTTCAGTAGCGTTATGCCACCGAACTTTGGTCATCACACCGTACGGCGCAGAGGTGGATACTTTAGCAAACTCGACGTAGCACTGAGCGTAGAGCTGTGCGTTGTTGGATACCATCCGCAGCAACGACTCTGGCAGTGGTCTGTGAACCCACTCTGTCGAGTCTGCAGGTCTCAGCTTGGCCTTGAACGACTGCGTTGTCTGTGCCAGACTCGTGTTGGCATTGATAGACTTGCAGAACTCAACAATCTGGAGCATACCCGCACGCAGTTCCGCCGTATTCACGATGTTCTCGTACATAACCTGCAGATCGACGCAGCTTCTTAAATTTTCAAAACGTCCGGCGCAGTACAGGCAGTATGCAGCTCGATGTACGTCGTGCATTACTTTGACTGTAGATGGGTCGGCGAATAACACTTTCAAAGCAGAAAACACTTGAGCTTGGTCCAATGAGTCAAGCTGCAGCACGACAGCAGTGTCTAGTGGGTTCGGCCCCACGATACTGATAACAGCAAGCTGGTAATCAGAATATTGTCCAGAAACAACAGGTTTCTTCGCTGTAAACTGGAAATGGACACCGACAACGGAGGTTGTACCGTCGATTAGCTTCTTGTTGTTTGTCTGAAGCAGACGCTGAAGCTCTGAGTTTGACGTGATGTACTTGATGGTACGAACGGCACTGGGCGATTTGCCTTGCACTGATGCAGTGGGTGTCTTGACACTGGTAGAACCTGGAGATTGTACAGAGGATTTTGTTTTCTTGTCAGCATGAGGATCGGGTACTGAAACGTTTGGAGAAGGTGATGATGAGCTTGCGTCGATGAGCGTGGAGACCCACTTGGAGCTCGTCGCAGCATAGACGCTGGGGAAGTTCGTTGCAGCCCTCGGAAGTCCACAAGCTCCACTATAACATCGAGTATAAAGCTGCATCGAGTGGACCAAAGTTGCCTGCATGAGCGGAGCCAGAGGCGACTTGGTCCACGCCTGAGGTTTGAGCTTGGCATTGAACTCCGCCACTTGTTGCCCCAGAGCAATCGTTGATTTACCAGCTAGTTTCGACACAATATCCCCTAAACTCAACTGGGTCGATTCCGACTTCTCCAGTCGCTGGTACAGAAGCTGGAGATCCATGCAGTTGACCAATTTGACACCAGTCATACCGTAGCCATGTAGCCATCTCGCAACCCGCTGGACATTGAGCAGGATCTTGATAGTAGCCGAGTCCTCCAGTAACGTCTTCAGTCCAGAGATCACCTGCTTCCTTGCCAATGAATCCACTTGCAACACCACTGCACAGGCGGTTGGCAAATCATGTCCAATCGCGATAGCCACAACTTGGTCGTCACTGGCATTTGCAGACTCTTCATTCGCGAACTGGAAGTGCAGCCCAACGATTCTACTGGTGCTAGCGACTGGCTTGTTTCCGTGCTCGGCCAGTAGCGCGTCCAGCTTTTTGGTGGAGGCAAAGTACAACCGCGGAGACTTGATCGCTTCCATGATGATTGAGAAAATATTTGAGACACCAAAATATCAAAGTTGGCGCTCAAATTATACTTTCAATTGTCCGTAATTTACCGGACAGAGGTACCCGTGTACCAGTCATTGTCAGGACGGGATGTCTGGACCCTTTGAATTCTGGTATAAGGCCCACATCAGCCCGGTACGGTATGGCAAGATAAGATCCATGCCGTCGATGACGTGTTTCATAGCGCTGCTATTACTGTTCATTTGCCGTTCTCGTGTTGCTATGCACTACTGAAGTCACATTTTGTCAGTGCACCATGCTTGAAGAGGTGCTCACTTCGCATTCGGCGCGTTAACTCTAAGCCACACTTGTTTGTTTTGAATTCTTCCAAGGTACTAGTATGAGTCTATTGTATTATGCAAGCATGCGTTGTTTGGCTTGCTTTCACAGAAGCCAATCTCTAAGGTAGTAGATAGAATGCGACTATCAAACATTAGAACACCGAACTACAACCTATCTACACTAACGACTAACCGCCGAAGAACCTGGAAAGCTATGACTGTGACGGCGATATATTCAGCAATGGCCGCAGACGTAGATATCTACCGCATTTGATGTAGTTGATCTCTGTAGCGGCGATTCCAGCACATTTTGGATTACTTTGATGCTCTGCTGCGTTACGAAGCGCTGCACGGACAGGTTTAAATCATTGTTACCGTATAATCGTAGTCCTAGGGGCCGTTTACTCCTAGGGGTCACTCGCAAAACGACCAATCAAAAGGAGGAATTTCAGCTTCATTACTCACACCCGCGGTTCAGTTTATTTTTAGTTTCAGCATCGATAAAACAACGCCATTCCAGCAACTCCCCGTGGAGGCATGGGTCGTCCTCGCATCAATGGTCAAGGCAAGAAGCGGAAGTTGTACCAGCGTGTGGCCGTGGCATACTCACACAAGCAAGATGTTCTTAATTTCAACGAAAGCCACACCCTTGACGATACGATTGAACACTTCTATGGAAAGTTAGACGGAAAAGCACTTCGAGCTCGAAAAAAAACAAATCAACAAATGGATAAAACAGAGTTCCACGTCGAAGCGTTTGCAGCTTCGATAAATGTTGTCCTGCTCAAAGTACCACCACGGTACACATATGTGTGCCAACCGGCGGATATATCGTGGAACAAGCCTCTAAAAGGAGGGCTGCGTGCTTTGTGGGTGAATCGGCTAAGAAGTCAACTGGTAGAGTACCGTAGCGGAGAAGAAAACCGCCAACGCAAGCGGGACAAACTACAGGAAGATATTGGTCGTGCACGCAGAGAACTAGTTCAAAAGGAAGCAGATATTGAAGTCGATCGGCTTCAAAAATCGCACATAGAAGAACCCTTTAAACTGAAGCCCCCAACACGAGTTGACATTGCTGAGTGGACGTCAGCATGCTGGAAAGGACTGACCAAGGCGACAATCGTTAGTGGGTTTGCGAAGGCTGGTATATTGGGTGATACTCGACACGCCGACGATAGCAGTGGCTCCGATTTGGAGCAGATCCAGAGTGACATTGTCGAGGCCTTAGAGAAGTGCGACCTTGCCGATGGTCACGTTGACTCGGACGATGATATCGAATCGGATGCTGATAGCGATAGTGATAAATCGTAGCTGTAGCCTTGCTAATCCCGCGATTTGCATGTAAGTGATGCAAATCATGTGGACGATCATTTGCTATTGAAGTGACCCCTAGGA